ATAAATTATAATAAGTTATAGTAAGTTATAGTAAGCTATAATAAGTTATAATAAGTTATAATAAGTTACAGTAAGTTACGACAAGTTGTGACTTGTGATAAGTTGTGACAAGTTATGATTTTTATTAAATTTTTTAATAAGTTACAACATATAATTACAATATAAGTATTATAACATAGTAATTGCAGCTACTATCTTTATTCTTGATTAAGAATAAAGCATTCTATCCAGCATTATTTATCAATAAACTTTGATATTACTGTAGTACTTCAATTCTATGAAGACATATTGAGTTTTTTATAGAAGATTATTAGCAGAACTGATATAATAAAAATATATCTGGATCTTTTTATTGGCAATTAAGAAAGTTTAAAAGAGTTATATATGAAAAGACAAAATCTCTCTATTGCTCAAAGATGATATATCTCAAATTGGCAGATTTAAAAATCTTGGATGCATTACTTTGTGAAATTTTATGCTCATGTCCGAATATAAACTTTCTTATTCTTGATTGAAGTTATAGTTTTAGTAATATATCAATTATACCTTAAGAAGATATTTCTAAAGGACTAGAAATTGCAAAATATTATCCAAAGCTACTATATCTGAGTCTTGATATATGTATAGCTATTACTAATAGATGTGTTAGTGAAATAATACAATCTTATTCAAATTTAAAATACATAAGTCTCACTTCTTTATATAGAAATAATAATATTTCCAGTGTATTTGTGATTGAAATAGCATGATCTTGTTCCAATCTAGTATATTTAAACCTCAATAGATAACCTTTTATTAATGATGAATCAATTTATGCAATTGCATGTTTATGTGTAAATCTTTAATATCTGGATTTATCATTTAATAAAATAATTATGGATAAAGCTATATGTGTGATTGCAACTGGCTGTCCAGATATGCGAAATTATTTTCTTGAAGGCTGTGAATGGATAACTGATAAATCAATCAAAAAAACTGTACAGTTAAATCAAAATCTGCAAAAGCTTATTCTTACTTCCTGTTACAAAATTATAAATAATGCTGTATGTAATGTAATTCGTTCATGTTCAAACATTCAGAATCTTAGTTTTCAATATATTTATATCATTGATAAAATGATATATGAAATTGCACATCATTATTCAAATTTATTAGTTCTTAATGCAAAGAAATACCCATTTATTTCTGATGAATCAATCTACTATCTATTAAACAAAAAACCAGCACTAGAGCTAATATTGGATTGGATTCCGTGATCCATATAGGTTAGAATAAAATCGTATTTATATGGTTAGTTTGATAATTGAATATTTTTTCAGTTGTAATTTTATTCTATTAATATTAATACATCCTATCTGCCACTTATATTTTTGAGCTGACCGAATTCTGCCATGTTTGAAGTTAGAGTGGATGTATAATAATAACAAGCATGATATATTATGATCTATTTTGATAAAAAGTTCGTGCATAACACGTGATTTTATCAAACTCAAACTTTTAAACATAATTACATCTTGTATAAAACAATGGAGACACCCAATCCACAATTAAGACATTGAGAGAATTGAATTCTGATCTCGTTCACCAGATCGCTGAACTTAGAAAGAAGTTTGCTGAGATCGAGGCTGAGAATATCGAGGTTAAAGCTGAAAATGCAAAGTTAAGACAGGATATGGAAGAATATGAGATTAGATTTGCGAAACTAGAGCAGAATGATAAAGAAAAAACTGACCTTATTGCTAAACTAGATGATGATATCAAGGAAATCAAGGAATAGAGTTTGCAAGACAAGGGTACGGAGTGTTATAAAACTATTACTAATATTTCATCACATATCGATGTGAGCCAGCTAAAGGTCGAGAACCAACCTAATGAGGAGGAAGCTATTACTCTCAATCATATGCCCGAAATAGAACATAGCTCAATCCAATCCGAATCACGAATAATCTTTCCATCTATCAAAACCCACTCTGATAAAGAAACTTCAATACATTGTGAAACAAATGGTTCTATAACTAGCATTACTCCTGTAACTCCCGAACAGATAGTCTCGCAAAGTAAGAATATTCCTGCATCTGTCACACCAGACATAACAAATTCTGATATATACCAACCTATTTGCACGGAGCCTGTTGCAGAGCAACGCCATTACCATGGCAAATCATTGGAAGATATAGAGATCGATGAATTCCTAGATTCAGAGGATAAGAAAAGGGTTAGATAATCATAAACATGACCTGAAAAATTGATTGCGTAAAACATATGTTCCATCACCCGGAAAAATTTCTGCCGAAAAGTGATGTGATACACGCATTGTGCAACCGAATGCATTTCTCACATATGCCCATGTCCCGCAATCTACCAATAAAAATCCACCAAAAAATCATATATAACTCAAAATGTCGACCACTTCAACTCCAGCTTCGTCTTCTAACAATGCTACCGAAGAAAAGCAGGCTCCCACTTTAGCCGAACTGGTTAGAAAGTATGATACGGAAAAGCTTATCGAGTTTTTGAAGGAGCAAGAAGACCTGCAACTGGACGAAGACGATTTCAAAATCTTCCGCGATGAGAAGATCACTGGTCGTGCATTTCTCAAGTTGACTGAGGAAAAACTTCGTAGCTATGGCATGAAAGGTGGCCCTTCAACGGTTCTTGCCGACTTCGCCAAGGAAGTTAAGGAGAAAAAATTGAGGGTGTTTTCGTCGTACCGCATTCTGAGAGAAGTGTTATTAAAATATGGCTTTGATGGTGATGGTGTGGAAGCCATCCCATTGTTCGAGCTTCCGCGATACGAGATCCAAGACGATGACCAGCATTTTGCACATTGCATGGCAGATATTTTGTTCAGGATGAAGCATTACGGGTCTTTAGTCTTGGATAGTTTGGAATCTATGCGAAACGAATACGTATCGACATTACTTCACACAGCTCTCCATATTGCAGGAGACTTAACTAGGAAAGAATTTAGCATGAGACCAGAATATGAAATCGTTGGTGATGAAAGTTCCGGACGAGTTGATTATGGAATCAAGGTTTGAGAATTGTTTTTTGTCATAAACGAATTACCGAAATCCATCATACGTTTTTTCTGGGACTTTACATTAATGAATATTTATTTTTTCAGGAATCTGAAAATCTAATCTGCGTTACCGAAGATAAGGTTCAGCGTAGTATACTCGAAGGTTTTGCCCAAAATATAAAACAACTCGAAAGCTCGTACGAAACGAACAAGAAAAAACGAAAGCGAGAAGACGATGATTTCGACTATCTTTATGGAATCGTGACCTCTGCCAGGGATTGGCATTTCTTACTTTACAGTCCCGGAGAGATTTCTCAAGCAAGTGAGATTCCCTATAGCATCGAATTCAACAAGAAGGCTTTGGAAAAAAACTCCGAGGAATACCAAACATTGTATAAGGGTGTGAAAAAGGTATTGGGTATCATCGTGGGTTTATTAAAGGATCGCGCTTGTGTTGAAAAATCTCCCGCCACCAAGAGAGCTAGGGTTGAGGGATATCGCACCAAAAAATGATGTAATAGTACCCGACTTTGTAATTTATTTTTTGGTTAATAAAGAAATGAATTTTTTAACGCGTACCTAATCACCTCTGAGATATGCAATCCCGATAATAAAAGCAATTTCGGGTTCGCAAATTTAGTAAGTCTTTCCGAGCGATTTCATATGTAACAGTCGATGCCAGAAAATGTATATAGGTAAGGGAGACGAGAAATCAAGGGAATTTTTCCCCCAAATCCATACACTATGGAAACTACCCATCTACAAGCACTCGCATTGAATTTTCTAAAAAACATACCAGGCTTTCTCAATGAGGGAGTCGACATCCCGACACTAAGCAACTGCCACAAATGTAACGGGCAAATTTTATCGGTTCCACTACGAGCATTTACGGTACTCTCCTGTGGTCATATACTTCATCGAACTTGCATCCAGGAAATTATCATGGAAACTGAAGCAAAATGTCCGGTATGTAAACTGCGCATCGAAATTATCCAGAAGGAAGACGGCAGTGAAGTCTATCAACGAAC